CCCATGGAAAAAAATGACTTTCAGGCCAAAAGTGAGGTCCAAATTCGCTGGAAAGTCGACATGTGGCATTATTCAAAGAGAACAGCGTGATCGTGGACGGAAATCCACTACAGAGTTGATCGTTGTAGCATACATACAAAGGCGGTGATAGCTCTGCATCGTATGATGATTGACTATTCAGATAGACCAAATATACATGACCGTAAAAAGCTGGTGTATATGGCAGAGGGATGAGATGAGGACAATTTTTCTCGATGAGTCGCTTACATCTGTTGTTCTGACAAAATTGGTAACACGTCATATTTCCAATTTCGATTGGAATCAAAGTGTTAACGCATACGAATGCTGACCAACATTCACGATTCACAAAATTTTGTTCAATAAAAAGCATTGCTCTCGCTACCAGATAGTCACGTTCTTTTACACATGAGTTTCTCACAAATGTATCAGATCCCCTACCGATTTGCATACACATGGCCTCTTCACATCGAAATACAGCTTCGGTAGTCTTGCACGTCAAATGCTTTTCATATTCATAAATTTCATCAGATCCATCAAGGCAATCGGGATTCAATGGATCATCATGTAAGAGTGCGATGGGTATACATTGTCCATTATAACATCGATATTCGTTTTTCTGACACGCATGAATTTCGACTTGCCAGCAGTGTTCTTCGTCACGTCCTGCATCGAGACAATCGATACTTCCATCACAAATTTCAGTCCAATCGAGACATGCCGGAAGTAGACCACGGATGCATTGTAAATGTTGATAGCATGTTAATGTGTTTGGTTCACTCCTGTCTCGATAAAAATCATGGACCATCTCAGTAAATGACAAATGATGAGGCTCGTATTGATCAAACATATATTGACATGTTGGACCAAACCATGGTAATGTACAGTTGAAGAAAAGCTCTGTTGACGTCGTTGTTTGATTTGAAGTTGAAGGTTGATTTAAGTAAAATTGATAGCGCTCAATCGTATCTATGGGTGCAGACCAGAGATATAACTGTTGACCGGTAATATTTCGTTTGCGCAATTCTTTAAAAGTGAAATTTTGATCTCGAATATTTGTTTTGATGCTCCATTTGGATGGCCACTCCCTTAGACAGTAAGAAACGATTTGTCGAGGGCCATTTTCGCCATCAGCGTAGCCAGCATACAGACAATCGTGTTGCAGCACAATCTCACTACTATAGTCACTTACCCAATCTGTAAGATCAAGATTGAATTGAATCAGGGCAATCATCTTGACCATCAATATCCAGACAACAACTCGATCTAGTAGCATTATCTATCACAAGATAAATGTAAGGCGTAGTAACTTATCTGTATAACTATTTCTCTCTCTCTCTTTAGTATGTGTTGAACAAACTCATTTGTTCCGAGTACGGCATATGCTCAAGATTTCAACTGAGAGATAACATATATATCTTATTTGAAACTTGAATTCAATTGTTGAAGTTCCAAGTTTGACACTACTGAAAGAGTTTTCCAAGGGTTGTGAAAAGCTTTCAAATAAATCGTACTAAATATATAAATTAGGGCGCAAAAATGGGTCGAACTAAATAAAACTTGAACGACTGAGTTCGGCTTGAATTGAATCGAATCGATTCTGAACCAGTTTTCGAAGATTCCAGTTACACCTAGAAACTTCCATTTCTTTCTGGAGTTGATATGAAACTAGTCAATACTTTTGAATTAGAAGACTTCAAACAGACTTTTCTCAAATGCTCCTAATTGATGTACAGTCTTGGACAAAAGTCCCGCTACCAGGCAAAAACCATTGAAACAAGGGTTGTTTGTCTTGAAACTTCTGCCATAAGAAGAACTTAATGAATCCTGATCGCAGGCAAAAGCTTGAGCTCGAAACCTTTACCCGGACTGAAATCTGAGGCTAACATCAACAATATTTTCCTATTGTATTATCTCGAGCTAGAAAGAAGATATAACATTGTTCAACCCACTGTTGGAAAGCCCGGCTCTTCTTCTCTCTACAGTAAAATTTTCATGATAATTGGGCATGCTTTTGTTAAGTTATGAATTAAACTCTGCCTACCCATGGAACTAACATATCATAACCTCACCAGTTTTTGACTTGAATCTCGGGCGTGACTCAATCTTTTGACTTGAAAATTGTGCCACAAACTGTGTATCTATTGCCTAGTCTACGCTCAAATTTGCAGAACTATAGCAACTATATTAGTGGAGATTCACATCATTCTATACCTCAAGATAGAGAGCCCTGGGAAATCACTATAGAACAGCACAACAAAATGTCGTTTGTAGCATGAGTAGGCCATCATCAGAACAACCCTTTGCACTAAAAGTATCATTCTGATTTCATCAACTCGAAGAAAACCAGTGCAACCTTTACGTATCACTACTTTTGGCTTAAAATTAAAGCAAATTAACTGGAAAAACAATGAAAAACAAGAATTTTCGAAAATTTAAGATGGTCAGTTCTATGTGATTTTAAGCCAAAAGTAGTGATACGTAAAGGTTGCGCTTAGACGTGTAAGCCGAAGGGTCAAACAGCGACGGCTGTTTCA